CAGAATCCTTCCCATGGGAAAGTGGACTTGTTTTGATTTTTTTCTAAGACATAATGGAGATAAGTATTTTTAAAAATTAGACACTAGAGGAAATTAAAGATTTTAATTAAAGGAGAAGAATACATAAACCTGATTAACAGCTACAGAATGACACAAAGTATTATAACATTGGAAATACTGAAGGATACTTTAGAAAAATGGAATCAGAAGTTAATGTTAACAATGACAATAGCGATGTTTGCTTCTATGGATAGACTGTGTCCAAAAGACGTTTTGGAAGAAATGGCAGAAGAAGAACAAGTTTTATCTGACAAGACAGAGTTGACACTGAAAGTGGATCTACAAATGACAGGCTACAAGAATGACATGGAAAAAGATGTCTCATTGGACATACAAAATAAATCAGTTGAGGCTCTAAAAATAAAAAAGGAATTACAAATAATAAACCAAAACAGTAATCTGGATAATTCTTACATGTTGGATTTACAAAAGAGATTTGTTAAAGCTTGGATGAATCTTGTGAGAAGGGGCAAAAAAGAAATGAAAAGAAATCAAGTTCTATAACATTACTTAAATGGACTAAAAATTAAGATTGTTAGAAGTAAAAGGAAAGAATATAAAGTTGGTTTATTTGATCAAGGTTAAAATAGATATGTTGTTGTTATTTCTGGCAATCCTTAATAGGCTTTTGCTGACACCAGGACTGAAATGATAACACTTTATGGATTTGCTTATAGATAAGAGATGGGACACGGGATGAAGTGATCATTGGTTGTAAATTAAGAAGAGGTGAAAAGCTACAACATTGTTTATACTTGTGATGAAAGTTGGAAGTCACTTCTTTATATATTTCTTCTCTTTTATTATATTCTTACTTTTCTTTTCCTACTATGTATTTTTTCTTTTCCTTTGCATTTTTTTACTCTTTCTATTCTTTTTTTCTTTATTTTAGTTTGTATTAGTTTTTGCTATTACAATTATAATCTGTAATAAAATTATTTTGAGGAAAATAAAATGTGCCTTGTTGGAACAGGCTAAGGCCTATCTCATCCAATATTCCAGACTGCATGGTGGCCAACAGATTCATTGAGAAAACTCAAAAGCATGACATAAGGGCAAGAGCTCTTTCATTGTTGCTCCCTAACAAATAGAATTGAGAACCTGTTGCCTTTGATTCTGAAGATAGGTTGCATTGTCTGAACTAGTATCAACTGCCATTAATTTGTCTATCCCCAAGTTCATAGATATTCCTCATTCTTTTCAACACTACTTCTATATACATAAGAACAAGCACTGTGTCTGTTGCTTTCTCCAGTTTGTTAAGAAACTAGTAAAATATGTGTAAAATCTATTTCAGTGTATCCCATGTTCAAAGATGCACTGCAGCTTGCTCTAGAACTCCTGATGATGGGTCCTGGGTCCCATAGTATCACATATGATAGCCAAATTTTGCTCTCACCTCTGTTATTCCAAAGAGAATGGCTTGTTTTTCTCTATAGAAAGGTAGTAATTAAAGTTCCCATTGATAATTATGACAGTGATAATTATAATGCAATTACGATAATCAAAGAATGTTCCCAAATGAAATAACAGATGTTTAGGTACTCAGTGCAATGAAATTAGGGGTGTTGATTTTTTTTTTCTGTTTTGTTACTGTGATTGAGTAAAATGAATTTCCTTTTGTCTTCAGAATAGCTCTTCACACATTCAGTGAACATGTGGAAATAGAATCACATCTACTGTCGATTTCCCTAAACTTTCCATTTTCAATTGAAGATAAGCATAGACTTGCATGTGGATAGGAACTGCTAACATAACTGTGGCCTACATAAAGCAGGGGTTTTAACTATTTACTTTCAGTGAAGTAATTCCTATATTTTGTACTAAGTATGTGGGGACAGGGTCTACTTCCGTGGCTTAAATTCCTTCTGCTGTGCATTTCATGAAGTGTCTTTTTTCATGAAGAGAAATGTTCATATGTACTAAACACCACCTAAACAGAAATAGTTTACATATTTTAAAATTTTCCCAAAATAAATTGAGAGCAGCAGCATCAATGTGAAGGAAACAGTCTGTTTAGTGAACTACCTTTAGTTTTAACAAGCGACTGTTCTAATGATTCACAACTGAGCCCAGTGAAAACTGATTTGAAGGCAATTGTGGAATATATATATAAATATATTATTATCTCCGTGCCTTGGAAAAATCTTGATGTAGCCTTGCTGAACCAATAGCATCGCTTCAGAGATGAATGGCTTTTCCATTCTGGATAGGGGCCTTCAGTGTTATGCATGAACTCTATTCTTACTAATTTTATTTAATATTTTCAGCTTCTTGCTTTTCTGTGTGTGTTCTGTAGTTTGTTTGATTTTTTTTAAACATCAGTAATACTGAAATACTGAAATTGTATTTCTCTTAGTATCTTTAAGCAATGTTGTTAATGATTCCGATAAATAAAAAGTTTTGCAAGAATTAATCTGGTGGACATTATCAGGAGGAGGATTATTTTGTTAGAACTGAATTAAGAAAGTGAGATATGCTTGGCAAGATGTCAGCTGCAAATCATGTAAAATTGCACCTTGCTAAGTGACTTTCTTACCTTTCTGCCACCCACAGCCTTCAGATTGGGGCAATTTATAAACATTGCATATAAATAGAAGTAAAGAATAGGAAAAATAATATATTTATAATTGAGCCTTAAAATATGGCAACTTAATAAGTCTTAATTTTTTGTTTGTTTCATCATATATTACATGCAAAATCTTGTCTTAGTTTTATTAACCATCCCTTCAATTTAAGAAATGGGAATAAGATGAGACAGTAATTATGGTTTCAGATGAACTTCAATCTTCCTCTCTATAGTACTGTTTGTTCCTCAAAGATTGCCAGCAGTTTTTTTTTTTTTTTTAATGAGAATGATTTGAAGATTACAGTGCAAAATCATAGCATTTAAATGGGAAGGGACAGCCTTTTTGCTGCTATTTTGGGCTTCTTTTTGGTAGTGCCCAATAAATACAAAACACGCTGAAATGGACCTGTAGGGCTACTGAGAAGCAGACTAACCACAAGGCTACAATTAAACTATTCAGTGCAAGATCTGCATGAGTTCTTTCTGCACACAAAACTATTTCACTAGAGATGAAAACAATCCAGAGAGCAACAGTAGAGACCAACAAGGTCTGATTTTCTCCAGGATAGAAATAGCTTAATTCATAACTCAGATCCAGAATTGAATGACATTACATATTGTGTCAAAACACTTGAAATGACACCTTCAATTTGTTGAAGTCACCAGCAATGTACCATTGAGTTGATACCACCAAGAGGATTATGGGAAACTGCCTTCTCTCCTTAGGGCAGAGAGACAAAAAGAGGATGATAAAAGTTAATATTACTTAAGATATGAGTAACAGCAGTTACAATTAAACATGTAGGCTGGTACAAATCACTTGACTCACAGGGAAGATTTGAGAATCCTCAGCCATCTTATTTTCCATTCATGTATACTAACTGAGAAAGGAGGGAGATCACTAAAGCACCAGAGATAAATATGTTATCACAAAACTTTTTCTGCTTGATCCTCAAGATACTGACATGAAGGCACTCTGCACTGTCAAAGTACCATTTCCTTTCATTGTTGGTGAACAGAGAAGTACAATTAACAAGCACACTTGAATGGTATGTGTAAACCCAGCTTATCCTGAAATCAGCTGTACGTAGCAGGAAGTCAGATACTGGATTAAGCAACCTGATTTACCCTAAGAAGTTAGGCAGACAATCTACCTTAAAAGAAAAAAAAGCACACACATCTTTATTTTAGTATGTGTTTATCCATGGAAGGAAAACCACCAATAAAACATTCTTACAAACTGCAAAACCGTTCCAGAGATTGAACATGAGGGAATTTATGAATCGCTATCAATATCAGCCAATAGGCATCTTCCCTAGGTATGTATTTTCCATGCAAATTCAAACTCATGGAACTGTGTTTGGGTTGTTGGGTTTTGTATTAAGAACTTGGGTGAAAATAGAAGTATTCCTTGAACAGTGAATCTTACACTGACACTGTCAAAATGGTACATTTTCAGTATCCAGTTGTTTGTTTCTTAAATATTCCCTGTGCTCAATTTAGAATTATCTCACTGTGGTGCACCAAATAGTTGGACTAGCTATTAAAATTAAACTTATTCCCTGTGCTCCTATTATAACAATGCCTGAGATTTTTATAACTCAAAATCATAATGAACAAAAATTCTAATGGCTGTGCTGTACCTTGATCAAGCTTCATTGCTTCATTGTTTTAGTACAGAATTGCAGAGAGGTCTATTTAGCAATGTAGAAACCCATAAAAACACCACTTGTTCCACATTATGGGGAATGATAAAGGAACTGTTTGGAAACATGCATAATGTATTTTGAAAAAAAAGCCTTTTTTTTTTTTTAACAAACTCATCGGAGAGTTGCTATAATATTGTTGCTCCTGCTGCATCCACGCTTCTTGGGTCTTTCACACCAATTATGAAATTGTTTGTTCTTCTGGCTCCATGAACTATAGAGAGGACCTCAACTTTATTTACATGTTCACCCCTGGTTGTAAAATAGCTGATATCTTCCTCTGGAAACTCACCTAATGAGAAAGGTTTGAAAAAGTTATTTTCATTAGAGCAATGATGCCCTCTCCAGGGTTGGCTTGAAACATTTTGTTGTCTCAGGTAAATAACAAAATGATAGCCTTTTCCCATTTTGCATATAGAAACCAAGTGAGTTGGCAACTTATTTTGGAGGCACTTCCACAATGGGGCGCTACACCAGTCTAAAATCAGCTCTGGATATATGAGATCTCACGCCGTTCTCCATGTTTGGTAGCCAAGTCAAATCATTTCCAATTCACTGTGGTGTATCTTAGACTGGCTAGAGGACAGCTTTCCATCTGAAATGTTGAATTTGTGGGTGGGCTGTTTTCTCACCAATAGGAACTCATGTCTTGGCCTCCTAGTTCCAGAATTCGTGCTAACAGTTTTTGCAGCAACCCCAAACAGCAACCATTCTGTTTCATGAACAATCAAATGTAAAAAGGGAATGTTAACAAAACACCCCCTTCTTATTATGTGGGGTGCAGGTGAGGGGAATTTTGTAGCTCTGGCACTGGCAGTTGCTCAGGGCCAGGCATTCAACTGAATGCTTTGTTTTGTTATGCGCGGTCTGATTGGCCAGTTGGAGCAGATTAATGTTCTCAAAATTTTGAAGCCACTGGATTTGGGGTCAGTTTCAAAATGCTTTAGGGAGATTAGAGAATAAAAGCAGTGCTAGTACAGAAGTGCCCTCACTTTAACATGGGTAATGGGCCAATTTCTTCTGCCACACTTGCAAACGCCAGTCATGCTAACAAAAATGCAGGGCAGTCTTATGATGGTGGCGCATACAGCTATGTCCTTTCCAGCACTTTACCATTAATCCTTCTGCTTGAGAAAGTTGCCTTCCTTTGCTTAAATCAAGGATGGCTCCTCAGCCGAAGCACTGTCATGGGGCAACCACCCTTTGTCACTGTAGGCCACCTGACCAGAGAGATCTGAGTAGATGCTGAATGCATCTGTAAACAGGCAAAACAGCTAACATAGCCAAAGCTTTAAACCTTCCCCATGTACTGATGCCTGGGGGGAAAAACATAGAAATGTAGATCCTGGAAGAAAAATGTTGCCCACTCTCGTTTTTTAAAAATAAGGTTGTGAATGTGAAAAAAAATGCCCACACAATTGCCCTTTTATTTCTCCAATATAAAACCTCAATTCCTAGCAACTTCAGGAAAAAGTCCATCACATTTTCTTGGCAGCAAGACAGAAATGGTTTGTCATTCCCTTCTTCTGGGAGGTTTTTTGGACTTCCTAGTCTAGCCTAAAGCCCTGGTAGTGATCTCTCATCCTAGTACTGACCAAGTCCATCCCTGCTTAGCTTTTCAACTTCAACCTCTAATGTAGTCTATCATAAAAGAGTATCCCCTCTTTCTATACATCAAGTATAGAAAGTTTGCTATATAAACTTTGCAGACTACAAAGTTTAATAAACCATGTCTAGCAAAGAAAAGCTACAGGGTAGTTTTAGATGCCTTAGAAAAATTGTTTTGTGTGGGCATATTAAAAAAAACCTAGTAGAAGTTCATACTTACTGTCAACTTCTAGAATATTTGATTGTAGCTGAGGGTGAAGCCGCCCAAGTGATAGACTCTCACTTAGATTTTTGTTATATGCTAAAACATTTATTAAAATCTGTCAGAAAGAAATGAAACCAAATATGAATTATTTTTTAATTATTTTTTTATTTTATCTTGACTCTTATTTAGCTGTTGAAAGGCTGGGCAAGCAGCAAGCCCCCACCAGACCAACCTGATTTCTACATGCGGATAGTGACCTTTGCATGGAGATCCTTGTGCATGCACAAATCCGTTGTGTGATCTGTGCACTTCACAGACCTGCCCTTCAACACATGGGAATCACTGCCTGGACAAAGCAGTGGTCTCTACTCCCATAATGAGATTATTAATCCCAAGTCCAGAACTTACCTGCATGATGCTGCTTAAAGCTTTATCTCCACCACTGGCTCCCAGGCAGAGGTAAGTCCCACACATCCCTTCTGATGGCCGAACAATAGTGGGTAGTAAGAAAGATAATGGCCTTTTTCCTGGCTGAATAAAATTCCTCTGCAGGAAAAAGATTTTTTCCCCAAACACTGTTAAATATATCACTAGGAGCTTCCTTTGCTCTTTAGGGTTCAGTTTCCTTATGTGCAATTTGTGCAAGTACGATTTTTAAGGACTAGATAAAAGGGATGAACAAGTTATCTGCCATTCATAAGGCACTTCAGGCATCTTCCCATCACATTTCTCTGATGACCTCATTGCAAGAAAGCTAGGGCCTTTTACAAATATTAAATAATACCACCATAAAACGGAGGAGGTTCTAGAATGAAAGAGCTTTCCAAAGTAGGGGTTTTGCTCAAAACTGTCTTTTTCTTAAGCTACTTCAGATAAGAAATTTATATTAAGGGAGGAATGTCACTTAAATGAGGATGGGGAAGATCTGACCCTCCAGATATTGGTGAAGCACAATTTCTAGCATCTCTTGGTTTGCTAGTTAAAAAGTACTGAAAACCACTAGCAAGAATAATTAACAGTATAATTCACATTTAAAACCATGGTTAAAAAAACACATAAGGTATACATTTGAAACATCCACAAATCAGAACAGAGGGTAAGAAATTACACAAATGGAATGGCCACTCCAGGGAGGATAAACTAGCATCGCCCTACAGATGGCAGGAAGCTGCAGTAGTAGCAACATCTGCAGGGGGATGCACAGCTACCCAATCCCTGGTTTTAGAATGAATGGAGTAAATAAATTGTGTTATCATATAATTTTATCCTAAGGTGGCAGTAATCCGAACTGTATCTAGATAGACTCAGGAATTTCCTCTTCTGCTTTTGTTTAGAAAGTTCTTGACTCTTTTATTAACTAACTGGTGTGGCTTCTGTGGAGTATATTCAAACTTGTCTAGTGCTCAGTTTCAACTATACAGTATAGTATATATATTTTTAATGTATTTTACTGTTTTTAGCTTTGTTGCATGCTGCCCAGTCTCCTATGGTGAGATGGGTGGCTATATAAATTGATTTAATAAATAAATAAATAAATAAGGACTCTGAATGAAAATAATCCTGGTTAAAACTTATTTACATATACATTTGTGTGGACAGACATATAGAAGATTAAGCATGCGTTCTTCTGACATTTAGATCTTCTTTCAAGAATTATCTTTCAAATACTACTTAAAAAAAACCTATATAACTATATCAGTGCAAGGAAAACAGCAAATCCACAGGGACAATGTTTGGAAAAAATCAAGCTAGATTTGTCTCTAACCAGAAGGAATAGATTAAACAGATTATATTTAATCTATTTCTTCTGGTTATAGATTATATAAATTTAAATAGATCTGTTGAAAGCAATAAATGTAAGATATCTGTATTTGCCACAAGAAATATTCTAAAATCTACATTTCACCAGTATCTTTATCAAATCAAGTTCAATTTATTGTAGTGGATGCAAACCAATGATTATTTAAAAATATAAGTAGTTTATGGTTTTAAACATAATAGAAGATTGCTAAATTTCAATTATCTTGGGAATACTTATATTTCAACATATTGATATACAATTATTTCTGCTTTCAATCTTTTTGTCCCAGAATAATTTCATAATTTATTACCAAGCTGGAAGAGGAATGGTCCTCTGTTTCATTCATCCAAGAAAAATCCAACATCTGGCTGTTTAGAAGGATTCCTGAAGAAGTCATTATTCCACTTCCAAATGGTCGATTCAAGGAACTGAAGAAAAACACAAAGACAGCTGGGTCGGAATTCAAGTCTTCCAAGTCAATCAGCTGCCCAGTATTGTACAGCTGCATAAATCATTTTTAGCCTGTCCAGAATAAAGGAATCATACAAAGAGTTCTGCCAGCTCACACCTGAGTTCAGTTCTGCATACTCAGTCTTTAATACACTATGTAGTTTGATCCATCTTGGGGTACCAGACTCCATACATGAATTATACATTGCCAGAAGTAGCACTTTCTTTGGTTCATCCTGAATCACCCGACAGTCAGTATCCCAGGAAGAATTTGTATTCCAATATTAGGGATAATAAGTATCTGTTCTCTCTCAACTTTCTTTGCCCTGTGCATTCTCTTATAAGTCTTTATTAAGTATTTTCTTTAATTTTTAATCAAAAGTTCTAATAACTTCTTCATTTTATTCTTAGACTTTCTGTGACCAGATTCTCTAGGTTAATTTCAAAATCAAATCAGTGCAACATTTCTAAGTACTGGAAGTAGTGTATTTAAAGTGCATGAAATGTTTTAGTTATGTTTTTTCTGTATCTTATCCCACTCTACTGCTGTATAATACTTCTGAAATGAGGAAAATACAATTCTGTCTCTACTGGCTGATCTTGTCTGTGCTTAGAAGCTAAAGCAGGGATGGGTTTGGTTGGTGTTTGGATAAAAGACTTCCAGAGCTGTTGTCTAGACTGGGAAGTCAGAAAACCACATCTGGCTTTTTATATTTTTTCCAAGAAAACTACATGAATGTATCTTTGCAGAGACCTAAAGTTGAGCTCAGCTTGTATGAGATTTTACTTTTAATTTAAGCAGAACAGCAGAGGATCTTGCCCCATCACAGACTGTTATGAGGAGATTATCATAGTGGCAATTTTAGTTTCAATCCATAAAATGGAAGTACTCTTTTTCACAGCTGCCAGATATTGTCAGTGCCATCACAACCCCAGATTCTTTTCCTAGTTGGATGTCAGTAGTTCAGACCTCATCTGTGACATATGAAATTAGGAACATTTTGTCCCACAAGTGTCTTTTTACCTTACAACAGCAACAATGTAATCATCAGGTCCCATGACAAGGACTTGGCTAGCAGAGGGACCACTTTCAATAGAGAAATGTGGAATGTGAAGATCAGAGGGGAAAGCTTGGGACTCAATCTGCTGATGCAGGAAATTTGCTTTAGATTTGCTGCAAAGAGAAGAAAAATCAGGGAGAAATGATTATTTGTCTTTACTTTTGCTCACTGAATGTATAGACATCTGGTCAAACAAGGGACAGAATGTTTTAAAAAATGAAATTACAAATAAATAAAAATATAGAAACAATAAGCAATAGCACTCAAAATGCATCTCAGCAGCCATATCAGTTTAGACTGTAAAAGCCTGCATTCTAAAAACACGTTTGGCCTGCAAACAGGAACATCATTAGAGGAACTTCACCTTGGCTGTTTATAATCAGCCTCCAGAGGTCTATAATTGTCTTCCTGTGTCTAATTTAAGTTTTTAATCAGAAGCCAAGCAATCAAGAAGTTTGTTAATAAACCAGTACCTAAAAGTCAGGCTTCTTCCTCATATCCTCCTAATCTCTACATAAACATGACCCAGGAAGCATTTTTATACAATGTCTTCATGAAATTGACTTTGTCTCAACCCCAGCACACAACTGAGGTATCTTAAACTCATATTTAGCTGTTGCTGTTTTAAGATAACATTTTCCCTCTTCTCTCAACACAGTGTTTGCTATGGATATAATCTAGCATATACCATCAATACTGTGGTTTATGGTGCATTCAGAGGTTGGGATCAGCCCAGCTCCTATTAGCTTAAGTTGCTGCAGGTATGTCCCCTCCAGTCTCTGGGCACTGTTTGCCACGTTGGCTTTGGTTCCAAGAAAGACCAGACATTTGGCTTCTTCAGAGGCATCTGTCCTCATAATGTCTAACAGGGACTTTCTGAAGCACTTATCAGATCTTATGTGGGTTCCTTGCATAAACTGGTTTAGCGCTTGTTTGAAAGAGTGCTGGACCTGTATGAAAAACAGGATTAAGGCTCTTTCAGAAGAGTGCTAGACCCATGTTCAGTCAGTAGCCCAACTGAAAAGTGGCAGGTATGGGACGCTTTGGTGCCTGTGGCTTGATAGCTGGGCAACTTGACAAGTGGTTAAACAGCTATTCGAGGCACCTGCCTAGTCACGTTTCTGTTACTGCCTAGTCAAGTCTATATCAATGAAGTATGGTTCCAGTCAAACTTGGGGAGTTTGTTCCCTGACCTAGCCTACCTCAAAGGGCTGACATCAATCTTGATGGATAAAAGAAATGCTGGTAAAAGGTCATATGCAGTATGCTCTGTAGCAAGGTATGAATAATTATTGAACTAACTCAGATGGCTGTGAATAAGAATGTGCTTCTGCCCAGATTATTTATGGAAGTGGGAGTTGCATATATTGGGAGAAACAAAAATAATGTTGGATACAGTGGGGCTGGGGTACTTAAGAAATGTTCGTGGTAAAACAGGAAGAAATAGGACCAAGCTTTAATGAATGTGGATTGAATACAAAAATAAATGACCAGAAATAAGTTGAAGTAAGAAGTACGTTGGGGTGGTATGATATCACACAGAGAGAATGGATGAGTCACAAAACAAATCTATAAAAGAAGAGTGAATGGTTTAAATAGTGATGGTGAATCTATGACACACGTGTCAAAGGTGACACACCACAATGTTTTGTGTGACCAGTGTTCACCAACACCTGACAACTATTCTCCCTGTTTGAGTTACCAAAGGAACTGAGTTTGTTTTACTCATATTTCATTTTTGTAATTATTTGACATTTCTTTATATAATAGATAGCACTATACATGATTGACTGTATTTTTTAAGGTAAATGAATATGTAAATAATTGTTTCTCTTTCATTTTTTGGTGGGGTGGCATGCCAAGAGAGTCAAGTTAGGCATTTTCTGAATTTTTGACCCACCAAGCCCAAAAGGTTTGACATGACTGGTTTAGATGAATAAGAAGGCTGAGAAACTTATGGTTAGATAGAGCAGATGAGATCCTTAAAAAGAGAGATGTGAGAAGTTTAAAACACAAATGCAACATATGAACCAATAGATAGACATGGTGAAAACAAGAATAGTTTGCAAAGATAAAAAGATTGGGGAGGTATAGTGAATTGTGTTGGCTGAGACTTGTTTTATTTCTTTTTCTCATCTCATGCCTTAATTGTTTTGACTTACTCTTTCTTATTCCTTTTCTGCATTTAACATAAAGACAAAAAAATTATATCAGTATGAAGAATGATAATCAGAAATTGAGACTTACCTCATCATATCTTCCACACTATCAGAAATGGAAGCATCATAGGAAGGATCTCCCAAACTGCTAGCTAATGCCAATACAACTTTTAAGGTCTACATAAGATAGAAAAGAAAAAAATAAATAGCATATGAAGATGGCCTTTGAAATCTCTCTTTCTCCAGGGACAGAGCTGCAAGGCAGGTCCAGGATGTTTATGCTGCCTGAAGAAGACAATGGTTTCTCTCATCCCCGCTACAAAAGCTGAAGGAATGGCTTCTATTCTTTGAGACAGCTGCCTTGCTCTTCTTAATGGCTTTTCTTACAAGTTCACCACCAGTGATTGAAGTGGCAGAGCAGGATTGGAAACAAGTGTATGCACTATGTGGCTGGTCTCTGCTCTTCAGGTAGCCTGTTATTCTTCAGTATGGTGGAAGTTGCAGTCCCACTGGTAGTGTTAAAAGAAGACTCAGCCACTAATCCAATGGTCTTTCATATGTGGGATGTGAGGGGAGGGCACTATGTTGCCTTTCCCTCAGACTGCGACACAGGCCAGTCCTGCATTTTTAATGCCACAGTTAAGACTTTTCGGTTCTCTGTTAAAAATTAATGGTTGGCACACAATATAATTAATTTATATTATGGGATGGAGAGGAAGTTTTAAACCTCTTTCCTCTTCAGTGTTTCCACTTTGACATACTTCTTTAACTTTTTTGGGGGGGGGGTGCCTTCCGGTCACTGTTGACTCCTGGTGACTGCCTGGACGAGTCCCTGGAGTTTTCTTGGCAAGATTTCAGAAGTGGTTTGCCATTGCCTGCTTCCTAGGGCTGAGAGAG